TTAACTTTCCTACCAAAGATAAGAAGAGCATTCTTGGTATAATATCAGGCAAGTATCAGTACCATAAAACTTATGTTACTGCTGTCACTTGGTTGATAAACCAAATTTTCATATAGTGTTAAAGAACAAAGAAAACATAAGCATGAATACTGAAACAGAAACTTCTGTTTTTTTTTTATCTTTTTAACATACAGTCACAATTTTTACTTTTGTAAATTTGTAACTTTTTGTTTAATGAGATTTTCACACATTTCCCTATTTGTCTTTGTAGGCACATGCTTGTCCAATATTCACACTATAATTTGTCAATGCCACAATTTGCAGTTTTTACAAACACTTGTGAATTAAAATAGTGTTAAATTTATTTTTGTTTTGTAAAATTTCTACTAATTTACCTTTCTTCACTAACTAGTCAAGGAACCCTACTAAATTTATTGTTAATTTCAAATATAGAAATGATCAAGAGGGTGGAAATTGGGAAATATCTGGCTTCAAGTGATTATTGCTCTACTAGGTTCAATGTTTTGCTGCACATGGAAATAAGGAATAATGATATTTTGGTTGAAAAATTTCAAAAAAAGCAAATTTTAAAGGGATGCGACAAAAAATATCCGCAGTGAATTAGGCAGCTGAATTACTTGGAGACACTTATCACATGTGGAAAATGTTTAAAGATAAATTTTTAAACATTCAAAGTACACATATTCCTTATAGAAAGAAAAGGGTAGCTGCAAGTTAAAAACCAGGTTGGCTCACAAAGAGAATAAGAGATAAAATTAAAGAAAAGCATAATAAATTTAAGAAACATAAATTGACTGGTATGATGAGAGATTTAATAGATTACAGAAGATCAAGAAAGTTGGTGAAACCGGAAATTAGGACACCAAAAAGATGTGTGAGAAAAGGTTGGCTGAAAATGTAAAAATTAACAGTAAGGATTCTTTAAATATATTAATTGTAAACAAAATGTTAAGATGGAGGTAGAACCCTTGAGGGATGATAAAGAAAGCTCGTTTTCGTGATGATTATGAATTGGCTGGATTATTATTTTTTTTTCTCTTCAGTTTTTACTAACAAAGATTTAAGAAGTATTCCACATCTGGAACAGTTGATAGATGGAAACAAGATTGAACAAGATGACTGCATTAATTCTGAGCTTGTTAAAAAAAATTGGGTAGTTTAATGAAAGATAAGGCTCCTGGGCCAGATAATATTTTCCCGAGGGTTTTGAGGGAGGTTAAAGATTGTTTGTGTGAGCCACTTGTTACTATTTTTTGTCAGTCCTTGAATTGTGGGCAGGTACCAGAGGATTGGAAGTTATTTAATATCACTCCTCTTTTCAAGGGAGTTGATAAAAATTGTCCCAGTAATTATAGGCCCATTAGTCTTCATCAGTTGTGGGGAAAAGTTTTGGAAAGTCTGATAAAAGATCTTTTGCAAAGCTATTTAACAAAGTTTAGAATTTTATTGGGTAGTCATCATGATTTCACTAAGGAAAAATCTTGCCTTACAAATCTTTTGACATTCTTTGAAAAGGTTACTGCTTATGTAGATCAGGGTAAGGGTGAAGATTTGGTGTATCTGGATTTTCAAAACACCTTTGACAAGGTGCCACATAAAAGTTTTGTTAAAAAAACTCTCTCTATAAGTGTGGGGGATAAGTTAGCAAATTGGGTAGAAGAGTGGCTGGATGGAAGAAAGCAGAGGGTTCAGTCAAACTTGATTAATGTTACAAGTACCTCTGGGCTCAGTCTAAGGACCTTTGCTCTTTTAGATTTCCATCAATGACACAGATAAAGAAATGGTGAATAAATTACTTAAATTTGCAGATGATATTAAGGTCTTGGGTGTTGGTATCTGTGAAGAGGATGCTAGTGATTTATAAAAGAATTTAGATCATTTAGTGAGTTGGGCAAATAAATGCCAAATGGGTTTTAATTATAATAAATGCAAGATAGTGCATGTGGGTTATCATAATTTGAATTATAAGTATAATTTGGATGGGAATAACCTTAACAATGTCATGAAGGAAAGGGATCTTGGTGTAATAGTTGATCAGTCTCTTAAGCCACCCAAGCAGTGTGCTGTTGCTAGTGGTAGGGCAAATAGGATTTTAGATTGCATCTAGAGGAATATTGAACACAAGTCTAAAGAG